CGGGTCAAGCGGTAACATAATGTCAAACGAAATAACATAGTAGACATGAATTATTTAGATATTATAGGTAACATGAATCTTCAACTTGAATCACTACTTGAAATACAAGGTTTGTTACATATTCTGCAAATAAAGGATAACAAAGCCATGACTTCTTTTGGCCATGACTTATTTTATATCATTATTATGAATTAAATATTTTTCATTTTTGTCCTTTATATAAGGTATTATCATATTGATGTAAAAAGATTCTTACCACTTGAACATTTTAGATATTAGATTGCAAAAAAAAAAAAATCGGCCTCCTTCATATGCAGCCGCCGCCTTCTCTCGAAAAAAGCTTAGGGTTCCTCTGCCTCCTACCAGCGTTGTCGCTGGTTCACCTCGTCTTCGGTGGTTATAGGGTCATGGTTGCGCGATGGATCTCGGCTTTTGCCAGCGGAGGGCTTTCTTTTTAGATATTACTTTGAGTTATGTTATAGGGTTTGCGTTTTGATCAGCAAGGCGAGGCGGCGGCGGCTCTCTGAAGATGGAATCAGGTTCTCCCGGCCTAGCCCTATCCTGGTGATGCGTCTAGTATCTTCGGAGGCCGTCTGCAGGCGTGTCTCCGGCGGATCTCGCAGGATTCGGTCGGTGGTTGTCTTTGGTGGATCTATTCGGAATTCGGATCGAGTATACGTTCACGTGTCTTCACGTTGGATCCTTCTGATTTACGCGACTCTTCGTCGGCGGCGATTGCTGTTCTAGTGCGTTGGTTTTATGAGCCCTTAGCACGACCACTTCTTAACTATCTATTACAACAAGTTTTGTCTGGCACCGGCAAAGGAAGGGGCGATGAGCCGATGACGACGGCGTGCCTTCGGCTCGTTTCAATACTTGTAGTCATCGCTAGATGTTCTACGAGTCCGCCTTAAAAAAAAAGATGTTCTACGAGTCCGAAGAAAGATTTGTATTTACACGTGTGAGATTACTATTTAACCACGAACGAGTACAAGAGTTGAGAGTATTCGATACCGATCCAATACCATTCAACATCGAGTTAAATGCTTCAGGCCTGAGCCCCCGTTCCCGCTGGATTGTTACAATCCGGGTTAGAAGCGAGACTGGCGATCCACACCTGGTCGGCCACCACCGGCTGGTCGTCGTCGTGTGTCGCATTCACCACCTGCAGCCTGCCGTGGCCGAAGCTCGCTTCCCGGAACACCGACGTCTTGGGCTGTGGGTCGATATACTCGTCTGCCAACCCTTCCCGGTTCCCGCCGTCTCCGATGGTCACGTACACCGGCCCGCACTGGTCCTCCATGCCGCCGTAGACGCGCGTGAACCTCTCGTACGCGTGCACGTGGCCCGCGAACACCGCGTCCACGCGCGCCGCGCGGAGCAGCGCCTCCATGGCGTCCCGCATGTCGTCGCCTTCCCCCTGGTGCGCCTCGTTGCTGTTGTACCACGGCGCGTGCACCAGCGCCACCACGAACGGCGTCTTGCCGCGGTCGATCCTGGCGAGGTCGCCCCGCAGCCACTCGTGCTGCGCCGTGCCGGCCTCGAAGCCCGTGTACGAGCCTAGCATGATGACATGCACCATGCCGCCCGCGACGTCAAAGGAGTAGTAGAGGTTCGACCCCGACGGGGAGTCGCCGGCGTCGTACGGCATGCGCCACCGCGCGTTGTAGGCCTTGAAGGCACGCGGCTCGAGGAGCGGGATCCTCTCGATCTCGTGGTTGCCCTCGGTCACCATCCACGGCCGCGCGCTAGCCAGCGGCTCGACGAGCCGGCCGTACGAGTCCCAGCGCGGCTGGAGGAAATCGGCGTACGACAGGTCGCCGGGGAGGAGGAGCATGTCGTAGTCGGTGGCCGCGATGTGCTGCAGCGTGCTCTTGGTCCAGCCGGTCTGTCCGAGGTCACCTGCAGGACGCCCACCGAAGCATGAAACTACCAGAGACCGAAATAAATAAGGCGAAACTGAAGAGCATTTGATGTGATGTGATGCGATGCAGTACCGACGATGACGAAGGTGAAGGGGAGGCTGGCCGGCGGCGTCCGGAAGGAGAACTCGCGCGACGGGTCGGAGCTGCACCGGTAGTAGTACGTGGTGCTGGGTTTCAGTGGGCCGACGACGGCGTCGTGGATGTTCCCCGAGTGGTAGAGGGCTAGGTACGAGTAGCTCGTGGTGGTTCCTGTCGCTGAGAATGGGTACTGGCCTGAGGTCGTGCCGTACTCCACGACTGCCGGTGCATCGTCTTCAGTGATCCATGTCACCCTCATCTCGTCATGGCCAACAGTCGATATATGGACCTGAAAGTAGTAAACAAAAAGTATTGGCAAGCTAGGCATTTCAAAAATGGAATTCTTGTTTGCTCAAACATCGCAACCGGTCGGTACAGTCAATACATGCAAAATCAGTCAGGGTCTGCCTTCAGTTTTTTCGGTTCAATTTATATGGTTTTTATACTTCGGTCTATACGGTTTTATACATAGATACAGTTCGATTTTGGTAATAACCATTTACTTTCGGTTTGGTTTCGGTAATGACAAAACTAACCAAAGTTGATGCGAATTTTGAGCAAACACATCACTCCACGTGTAAATACATGATATATATCATAATGATAAAAAACAATTAGAAAGGAATATAGAAGGGGCGTTGGATAAGCCGTCAGACTAATAATCATATAAACTGAAGCACTAAATGGGGTAGAAAGTACTGTACTATAGCAGCTCATTACGCTTTTGAACCCAAAAAATCTCAATTTTGATTAATTTGGTTTAACCAAATGGTTTTTGGTTTCTAACCGACAAAACCGAAATGATGGTTTTCAGATTTCAAAATTGAAACTGAAACCTAAAAAACAGAAACTGTTGGTTCAGTTTGATTTTTTGTCTGGTTTTGGTTTTCTGTTGAGTTTTGCACACCTTGAAAAATCAGGCATCATCATAGCTAGATCTAGATGCACACAACCCAACACGTCTTGCATAGATGCCGGTTTAGTCTTCAGATCGGCTCTACAGCCACCTAAGTTTTGTTGATCTTTTTCTCATGTTGATTTGCTATTGTTGCAGAAAAAATAATCTAAGTAGTTTCTATGCGATCACCAATTCTAAAAAACACTCCCTCCGTTCCTAAAGGAATGGACGGAAATTGACTTCTTTTCTTTTTACTCCATGCACTAATACGATCTCACTCAGTTCTAGAATGAACGTAAATAGTAGAAATGGCTAATCCACCTCCTTCTAAAGGGGTCTTCAAAAACAATACAAAAACCTGGGCAATCAATTTGCTAGTCATCCGAAAGGAAAATCTTTAAGTCCACGATCCTGTATGCTGATTCTCTATATAGAAGTTAGGTAATCCCTCTGTAAATTAATAATAAGAGCGTTTAGATTACTAAAATAATGATCTAAACGCTTTTATATTAGCTTATAGAGGGAGTAAAACAAGCTTTGCTTAGAAATGTGCAACTGTAGAGATTATGTGCATATACAAACTTTTGTTGCAACTTTGAGTAATATGCAACTGAGTCGACTTATAATAGCAATTTTCTACTCCCTTCGTTCCTAAATATTTGTCTCTTTAGACATTCAAATGGACTACAATATACGGATGTATGTAGACATATTTTAGAATGTAGTTTCACTCATTTTACTTCGTATGTAGTTATTTGTTGAAATCTCTAGAAAGACAAATATTTAGGAACGGAGGGAATAGTTGACTATAAATAGAAAATCCTCCTTACTGAGCACACATTATGCACCGGTTTGTTCTTTGATGACGAACTAAACTATTCCTTAAGACTACATGGCAGCAACTTATGTGGAATGCAGGGCCCTGGTTTATGCTTGGCATATTCAATTTACATGTGCACATCAGGAATTCAGGAGTACTATAGCGATGAACGGACTGGGATCAGGTGACATGCCTACAGCATGTTACGCTGCAACCTGCGGCCTGCCATCCGCCCTTCAATCTCCATCCAACGTTCCACAGCGATCCAAGGCAAAAAAAAAATACCTGACGATCAGACTACACAGGAGAAATGCATCATACTACTGTTTTCAGAGTTTGTTCAATAGAATCACCAACTTTTCAGTCATTATACAGTACAAAACAGCAGCTATATTTTTTTTACCGAATTTGCATAAATTAAATTTCAAACTTAGCTATACAAAAAAAATTGTATGCAAACAGCAGTCATATAGCAACAAAAACAGCAGTAATTTAACAATACAAATTCAGTATCACTTGATTGAAATTCAGTATTAAATTTCAAACTTAGCTATACAAAAAAACAAAAAAATTGTATGCAAGCAGCAGTCATATAACAACAAAAACAACAGTAATTTAACAACACAAATTCAGTACCACTTGATTGAAATTCAGTATTAATTTCAAACTTAGCTATATAAAAAAACAAAAAGAAAGTGTATGCAAACAACGGTCATATAGCAACAAAAAAAGCAGTAATTTAACAATACAAACTAAGTGCCACTTGATTGAAATTCAGTACCACTTGCTTGTAATTCAAAAGGTCAATACATCCAAATTCAGTACCACTTGCTTGTACACTTAGGCTACAAAATAATATAGTTAACCCCATACTACTATAGTTAACCATGTCCAAAATACTACTGTATCTAACAAGTTCCATGCTAGAACAGATAATCATCATCATCACCACCATGTACAAAATATTATCTAAGGAGCTTCCATGGTCAGCCGTCAAGAGTTGGGTGAAACTCATAATATTATTGCACTCTTGAAGCACCAAATTTACTTCTTTGTTGTTGTCATACTTCTCCACTTCTACTTGAGGCTGCACACCATCTTTTTTCTTTTGTTGCACACCATTCTTCTTCCTTTGTGGCTGAGAACAAAAATCACTGTAATTAGTTAACAAATGAGCAACAACAACATATCATGTACCAATTGCAACTTACCTTTTCTCCCTGTTTTGTTGGTCCTTTAGTTACTCTGTGCTTCCCCTTGAGTAACTTATCAAGCCAATTTTTCTTTCTCCTTAAGTTCTTTGACTGAACCTCTTTTTTCTTCAGCCGTGCAGATCTAAGCAACTCATCTACTTGCTGCACATTTGGGTCAAACATTCTCTTTGTCTTTACATAGTTCATTCATGGCACTAGTGGATGCATTGGGTAAATCATGTATATGCGGAGCGACGGAATCAAGTGCATTATCCAATAGAATACAACATTGTGGAGAGTTGGCTGCTTTTTGTGCCATTTTGTGAAATTTATGAGACAAATCCTTGTATCGAAGTTCAGCTTCCATTTTTGGATTTTCTACCACATTCCTTCCTTGTCTATCTTGAATACTTCCACTGCGAGCTTCTCTAGTCCACCTCTTCAAGACATAATGTGCCGGCAATGTCTTTATGTTCATCAAATCAAGCACTTTTAGACCATGTGCACACAAGATTCCTGTCCTATTGAACATCCCACAACTACATGAGACCGTTTTGGTCAAAGGATCACCTACCACTATGCGCTCCTCCTCAAACTGTAAATCTCCATGCAACCTCGCAATAGCAACAACAAATCTGTTATTTCCATCCAATGCTCTACAACATGCAGCCGTTGATCTTTCATACTCACCTTGGAAAGCCTCAAAAATAATCGGAGTGTATACTTCGCTTGCTTCTACCAACATAGGAGTCTTCATCTTAATTATTGGTATATTCTTTATTGCATCGAATTCAGATTCTAATTCAGCTCTTCTTTTTACCGCCATTGTCCTCTCAAAATGCATCAAGAATCGAAGAATATGAAAATCTGATTTCAAATGATTTTTCAATGCATTGTTGAAGCTCTCACTTAATTGTGTACTTCTCACTCCCAAGCTAAAGACATCTCTCATATAACATTCGGCCCATTTTTCTTTCACCTTGTAGATACTATCTAACCAAGTTTGCTTATGCACTTTGAGCCTCATATTGGCAACGCTTCTTCAAATGCTACCTTGTCTTCATAGCCATACATACAAGCACCAAAATCTGTGAGAATATGAGGCTCTTTTTCTTCATCCTCCACTTCATCTCTCTCTTCCACTTCCATCTTTTTCTTCGCCCTTCACAGAAGTTAAGTGTTTGACAGCATTTTGCATTATATGGAAGGTGCACAATCCATGATATGATTCTGTGAAGACCTTTTCTATGGATTTTCCCATTGCAACATCTTGATCTGTATAGATAGTTCTAGGTTGCCTTCCATTATGTGCGGCTAGAAAAGTCTCAAAGAGCCATATAAAGGAGTCACGTGTTTCATCGAACATCAATGCAGCACCAAAAATGATTGTTTTTCTGAAATAGTTTAGCCTAAGAAAAATACCAAATGGCCTATACTCTTTGTTTGTGCCAAATGTAGTGTCAAATGTGACAACATCGCCAAAGTGTGCATAGTCAAGTAGCATTTTAGCATCAACCCAGAATATGTTGGCTATATGCTCCTCACTATCCAACTGCAAATGGTATTGGAATGCTGCATTCTCAGCCTGCTTGTCACGAAAATAATTCAACATACTTCCAGCCTGTCCATAAGCCAACTCCCGCTGCCGCTTGCTTCGCAAATGGTTCTTTCGGTCACGGCAAGTGTAACCAAGGTTGTTAGGGCCACCAACTAGACGACAAGCATACTCATGTGAAGCTTTTGGCATAATTCCAGAATCATCGGCTATTTCTATCTCGAAAGCTTGCACTTCTGAAATCTTCCTTTGTGATGCTAACAAGTGGCAGGTTTGTGGCAATTGAAGGTGGTGATTGTGCTCCAAATCAACTTCGGTGACTTCAAAATTGTTGGCAACTCGATCATATGTAACAATCACATGAGCCTTACAATTGGTTCTTGTTTCTGCTCTAATACGTTTTGGTTCATGATCTGTTTGGTTTTTCCTTCGATGGCCTTCATTGGAACAAACAAACTAGCGTGAAGTAATCACACCATCACATCTGCTTTTGATTGTGGATCTTTTCCTCACATCAAAGCCGATGTGACCCCCATAATCTACCCAAAACTCCCAAGCCTCTTCCGAATCTCTGAACCTCATACCAACTTTGGGTGTCCTCTTTCCAATTTCTGCCATTGCACAACATTCAATTCTGCCAAACGAAAACAAAGTATATAAATTAGTGGACTGCAATCTTATCGGTTCCGGTAGCAAGGATGGTACAACATGTCAAGACATATCTGTATATACATGTCAGGATGGTACAACAACTCATACACTCACACTGAATATGATGATTCAGTATGCCATC